TGCGTATGGTTTAGGTGCTTTGAGCTGGACTCTAATGTAAGAGGGGAGGGCCGGAGGGGAGTTGGTAACAGGAATGAAAATAAATTATTCGCTACATTTGCGATAACCCCCTAAAAGTATAATAAGTGAGGGAAGGTGTAACGTCATTTCGTTGTGAGTGAAATTAATAAGTGAAGTCGTAAAGATATAATCTATTACTAATAATAAAATAATCTGGGATTATTTTGGTACAGATAAGCCTAATATAATCCCAAAATAATCCCGCCGAAATAATTACATCTAAACAGGCCCTTAATATAAGGTTCATCTCATCTGCTTTTGTTCTCCTAACTATAGAAACATTCGAATCCCCCTCTAAGCGTGAAGTAACCAACGACACATTCTAACAGCAAACAAACCACTAAAATTACGATATTAGTCCGGTGAATGAAAAAAATAAATTATGAAACTTACTGCTGAAGGATCTCTACTTCCACAGTTAATGATTTTTCCATTCTTATCTCTTATAAGACCCTGGCAAGTTTTCGGGACAGAGAATTCCTTAGTTGGAGCTTGGACTTTATTTGTACACTATATATCTATTAGTAATCATGTTTCCGAATCTTATTAGGACGGAGGTATTTATAAGAAAATGGATTTACACGTAAGTTATAGGTAAAAGATAATTTAAGTTTTATACCTTACTTTTTAGCCTAAGTGTAACGAATACTCAAACTGGCTAACTAAACTTGGCTGGGTGTTCGCTGGTCGGTATGCTATGATAAGAAGAAGACTATCGGGTTGTTCACTTGGAAGTGAACTCGTTACTTGTATCAAAGATGTCAAACTAATATGATAAGATTGATAACTAAGTTGAGCACGAAGCTCCTATCTAATGGCAGGCGTGCCAGTCTTATATAGAACCTTCGTTCTCTCGATGTTCGCTCGTTCGACAATCGAACTGGCTAACTTCGCCTGTTCGCCCGGCTAACTGGCAACTCCTAATATCACGTGATAACAATACAGAGAAATCCCTGGATCGCTTAGCTACTCCAAACGATCCCTATTTGCTATAAGAAACCTGGATGTGCCTGTCGAGGGTTGCGCCTCTTATTATGACAAGTATCACGTGAGCACGTGATTCGTGACATTTAGAAGGATAAAGTATAGGGAGTAATAAGATTATAAAAGAAGTAGTTATATTAAGTTAAAAGCTTGTAGAATTAAGTAGGAGGGAGCACGGGAACTCATTCTATAGAATTCTATACATTCCACTCTATCTAGAGTTATTTAAAAGTATCTTATAAATTTTTATTAATTAGCCTTTGAAGTTCTAGGATCTTATTACCGTATTCATCTGATCCCTCACCTATCTCCCCGCCACGTCTCGAGCGCGAAGATTCCGTGACTAGTGATTCAAGTTCCAACTCTCGCCACGACTCACCCGCCATTTTACAATTCCACGCCGACCACCTATACAACAAACTCCTCCAGATAGCCAAAGCTAATGTCACCCCGTCATGGTAGATAATAGAAGAACTGTACTGTGGGGAAAAGATAGCGGAGAGCGCCGTGGCGCCGTGGGAAGGTGCACCGACTATTATATGACTGATTCTGAGCCTTGTCGCATTCAACCGAGCAGTCTTGGGAAAAGTCCAATCTGGTTTGTGAGAGTCGTGGAGACGATATTTTACTCGTACCTCGCATGTCGTCAGAAAGACTCTAGTACCCTTTGTGTGGGCCAGGACGCTAAGAGCAGTGACGGGAAAGATTTTTACGAGTTTCGGAGAGGTAAAAAATGATCACTACGTACTTCGTAGATTTGGACAGAAACGTGGGTCTACAGGAACACTAAAACTTGCCCGTAGCGAGTATACAGCTCTTCTACCTAGGTAGGCAATTTCATCGGTCGGGAAGACATACTATTCAAGGAAAAGACAACACTTGATTATATTTACAGATCTGTTTTATTTGTATATTGTTTCGACCAGTGGAAGTCCTAGGATCCAAGTCCTACTACGTGGCCATATGCGCGGTCGTGAGGCTCAAGTGCGAATGCGGCTCCTGGTGCGGCTGTGGCTACAGTAAGCGTGGCTTTGCGGCCTCAGCACCCTTACCTATATCTGCCAAGCCCTGAAAGAAACGTTCTTTACACAATCTTACTCGTAATACCCTGGAAATATCATTGCTTATTGATAAAATTGTTACGGTGTTTCAGGCCCCAGATGAAGGAGTAAACCCGTCGTCGCCTAAGCTCAAAGGTATTAACTATGTAGGAAAATCCCGATATCTGAGTCCCTTCCCTTTTCGTCGAATACTTCTTTGGGAATGGAGAATTATTGGCCATTCCCAAATTGGGGCTATAAATTGAATCACCAAAGCAGTTGAATGAAGAGAAGATGAACTACAGGAATTGAAATTTTCAACGTCTCGATAACGTAGTCCACAAGCGAGTTGGATTCCCAAGCGAAATGGATTTTTTTTCTTGGCACTCCACAAACTTATTCAGAGCGCGTTTTTTCTTAACAAACAAAATGATTAAGCATTGGACAGAGTCTGATATGATTCTTGCGTTAAATACGCTTCGTACGAACCCACATTTAAAAGTTAAGAAGGTTGCGCGGGTCTATAAAGTACCTTATACGACATTGCTTAATCGAACTCATGGAATATTATCACGGCAAGATTCTATCGCTAAATCTCGAAAACTTACAGAGATTGAAGAAATAGTTATCGTACGACATATTCTCGACCTAGATTCTCGATCATTTCCCCCACGAGTACGTTGTGTTGAAGATATGGCGAATCGTATCCTCTCGGAGCGGGGTGCAGGACGCGTTGGCAAGAACTGGACTTCGAACTTCGTACGACGACAACCTGAACTTAAGACGCGTTTTAATCGAAGGATTGATTATCAAAGAGTCCAATGCGAAAATCCAGACGCGTATAACGCGTGGTTTCGCCTCGTACGAAATATAATTGACAAATATGGGATTCAGGAGGAGGATATTTATAACTTTGACGAGACTGGGTTTTGTATGGGCCAAATTACATCAGAAATGGTTGTTACAAGTACCGAAAGGCTTTCTCGGCCTCGTACAGTACAGCAAGGAAACCGGGAATGGGCAACAGTAATTCAAGGTGTTGGGTCGTACGGCTTTGTAGTGCCTCCATATATCATTTTGGCGGGGAAGAACCACCTCTCCTCCTGGTACGAAAACAGCCAATTACCACGCGACTGGGTAATTGCTGTAACTACAAATGGCTGGACAACAAATGAGCGAGCCCTAGATTGGATTTTTCATTTCGATCGGCATACAAAGCTTCGTACGAAGGGCATTCACCGGCTGCTTGTGCTTGATGGCCATGAAAGCCACCACTCAGTCGATTTTGAGCTTTTTTGTAAGAGTAATAACATTATTACTCTTTGCATGCCAGCTCATTCCTCTCATAGACTCCAGCCACTCGATGTAGGATGTTTTCGAGCGTTAAAAAGGTCGTACGGTGCTGAACTTGAGAAATTAATGCGACTCCACATTACATATGTTTCTAAGGAGGATTTCTTATCAACATTCTACACTGCCTTTCGTACGACAGTGACTGAATCAAACATTCGAGGAGGATTTCGAGGATCTGGCTTAGTGCCGTACGACCCAGATTCTGTGATTTCACAGCTTGATATACGTCCAAGGACTCCGTCACGTCCATCTACCTCAACAAGCCTCCTAGCTATTTGGGAACCAAAGACCCCAAATAACATAACAGAGGCATATTCCCAGACGTCATATATACAAAACAAGGTCGTACGACACCAAGATAGTTCTCCGACCCAGATTCTATATGGCCTAGACCAGCTTGCAAAGGGTGCACAGCGTGCAATCACTGAGGTAGCTTTATTACGAGCTGAGAATGCTACACTTCGTACAGCAAATGATCAACTTAGTCGGCGTCGTCGTACGAAAAAGCGCCGATTACAGGAAGGAGGATCACTTACTCTCCAAGATGCGCAAGATTTAGGGGTCCTTAGTAATGTTGATTCGCAAGAACAAGTGGTTTTAGTAGAAAATAGTAATTGTACGAGCCCGAGTCTAGTACCTCGCCGGCGCTGTGCACTATGTGGGAAACATGGCCATAACATACGAACTTGTCAAAATGGAGAAGAAATATGTGAGGATTCCGATTCTGAATACTGTAATTGATTTAATTAATTGTGTCGTGAGATATTTAAGAATTTATAAAATGCCAAGAAAAAAAATCCATTTCGCTTGGGAATCCAACTCGCTTGTGGACTACGTTATATATATACTTATTGGAAATCATAGCATCAAAGACGTACGAAAATTGCCCCCATTAAGAGAAATTAAGATCTGATAACTACTAATCTTGATATTAACTATTTTCGGGTGATAACGATTGATCGAGGCTCAACGCTATCGCGCGGAGATGTACCCTATCTTTCCTAGCGATTCACAAAGGATGTATGTAGACAATTGTTGTGCTGGGTCTACTTTCTCTTTTGCTCCACTTCCTTATTTGATCCACTTATAGTTCTGCTGCCTAAATGCTTCATGTCTGCCTAAACCTTACACTCTTTATATAAACACCTTAGATAGCTACCTTCTACAATGCAATCAATTCTCCATGACCTTCAGTACCCAATACCCTTTCAACCCAATAACAATCTACAAAATTAGTTAACAATGTATTCTGGTATTTGTATTCCCAACTTACACCTTGGATTTACTTGTGCCTCTGAATCCCAAGTAATAAAGAGAAATGGCTCAAAGGAAGTCTGATGATGGAGCCAGTATCAGCGTTGATCTTTATGATAATGCATCATGTAGACTGCACCAAGCTTGTCGACAGCTATACGATCTGTTTCAAACATATTCTCTGGATTGACTATGCAATGGTTACAATACGCAAGCTGATCTTCCACAAGAGGTAATAGAGATCTTCAAGTGCTGATATTGAACCCCCATTAGAATCATACCTGCAGGGATTAAGATATACATACTTCACTAGTCGTATCCTGAATTCTCTGAACAAATATTTTTCTTGTCTTCATCGGCGAGGTAGGCGTTTATAGCGGTCAATCCACTCTCCAATGTGTGATCTGAGGTATGATTGAGCTATATAATATAGGGTACGGGCATTAAAAATTACCAGAATAGGCAATAATGGCTGGGCCTTCATTATTCGTGGGACTCTTGAAGTCTAAGGTGATTCCCTTCTCAAAGGTTATGTGAACTCGATGCTGATAATTGTTTATTAGACTGTTTTACTTCTCGAGAACACAATAGGACAATTTACCCGGAAGATCAAATTAGACCGCCTTCTCTGTACTCAAGTGCTTTGCAAGCAGCTGGGTGGTTTCCTTTCGATAGTCCGCGCATGAGACCTTTTCATCGAGGACTGGATGGCTGGATATGTGAGATAGTACCTCAAAGCAATTCCGTTCAAGTGTCAATTCTCACAGCTTTGGACGAATATCCTCGATATGAAGGACTGCCGTCGTGCCAGTCCTCAATCATGTTGCCTAGAGGTTGATTATATGCCTCATTCGCTGCCGGTAAGATCTGGTAGAGTCGCTCATGCTCATACAGAGGATCCCGTGCAAGATGGCACAAGGACGCTATGATGTTGACCATTGTGTGTTGTTATAGATTGCGAAACGTTTTAGAAAAGATCCATCACAAGAGAGAGAAATTATATAGCTGGAAGATTATAGCGGTGGAAGTTTCAGGTGAAAGGTCCTGAGACCCAGTTGATTGTAAAGCTCCGTCTCTGAAGAAAGACTTAAGCCTTAATATCCAGCACCTGCAGTATTAAATGACATAGCAACCTCCCGGACTCCATTCATAGAAACTGAGCCTGGCGTAAGTTTTGGGGCATACAATGCTGCCCTGCTTGCTGGTAACGTGGGATCCTAATGTCTCGGTCCCCAATGAGATTGTGCTAAATCCCGCAGCAAGTCCCATGGCAGACCAAGTTGATGAACCTCCTGGTGACTAACAAGAACCAACACTGAATTCTCAATTTCTGTGGAACTGAAAATTTACCGATTCCCCTCTTCGTTTCTCTCCAGGTTTGAATCCACCTAGAATATAAGGAGATTAGCACATCCACTCAACTATAGACTATCCTCGCGTCTCTCTAATAAAGCGATCAGAATACATATATAAGACATATTTAGAACGCATTTTAAGGGTAAGATATAGCTAAATGTAAAGAAGTAATAATAATATTTACTTACTTGAAACCGTAGAACTCCTAAAGAAAAATACTAGTAACACTGTCCACGCACTAAGACGACTAACCAATACCTACAGTCAAGTTGGTTTTGGCCAGGACTATGATGCCTTTTTGAATAAGCTACTAGGCGTTTAGCAAGATGCTTTATATCCAAGCCTCCACGATCGATGCGCTGGTTACAGAACCATCATTCAATAGCAGTCTCAAATCTGCTGCTGTTGCAGTTAGCACATCGAATTTGGCCACCATGTTATAGTGATATATTGCCGAGAGATGGTGAGGATATAAAAAGTAGTGAGGCTGAACGTGATGTTGGTCGCTGCAGTGGTTTATAAGAAGGGAGGAAGCTAGGAACCACGAGAAATACCCGATATTATATCGGCCCGGTATATACCGTATATAGCTTATTAGTAGAAGACCTTTACAAGTAGTATAGGAGAGTAAGGGCAAATTTCCAGGCGATGCCTTATTTAGTAGTATAATACTAAATATATATATAAGGTGCTAAAAGCTAAATTATACTTATACTCTAATACTATATTACCGGGTTCCAGGTTTCCGCACCGCTTTTGTTCTTCTTAGGCCCCTATAAAGCTTTCTCTTCCCCCTTACCTATCTCTTATATTATAAGGTTCAAATAATTCTTATTAAAACCGTAACCGAACCGTCTAACAAAACACTATATAATAATCCGTAGATTCTACTATGTTAGTAGTACTAGTCTTAGTTATAGAAGATCGAGAAAGATTAAATATATATAATACCTGAATATTTATTAGTCTTACGAAAAATAGGATATTATACTTTTATATCTTCTATTCCTTGAATCCTTTACCTAAGTTACTATCGAGAATTACTACTAAAAGAAAGAATTATTTAGCTTTTGACCTCTATAGCGGAGTATTAAAGTTAAAAGTATAATAGTGTCAAGGAGTCAGATCAGGTGACCTGCGTTCATTCATGAAGCTACTCACAATTATGGATAAACCAGCACAGACCAGTGTCAACCGACTTAAAAGATAGATCTCCTTAAGAATCTCTTCTCTCCCTGTAATCAATCTATTCAACCAAGTCGCAATTGTCCTCGACTTGCACTTGTACCGTGACAAATAGCTATATTTCTTAGGTTAGTATTAAACTAATTAGAAATAGGGTCTTTATTTAACTAAGTTAAAACAATAAAGTTATACTTATCCTAGGCGAAATAATTAATCTTAGGTTTTTTAGGGTATTTTTACTCTATTACTAACCTAAGCTACCCTAGTAAACCTATAAGTATTTTGCCTAGAACAAAGTAAGAAACATAGAATGTTATAAATTTTATATCTTAGGATAGATAAAGTAACTTAACTATATCTGCCGCGAACTAGAGAGCTAGAAAGTTTCGCGATTAAAAGCTAAGACTCCGTAGATTTTCTAGTAATAGCTAAAATTTATCTTAATATAATACTTTGTCCTAGGCAAAATAAATATAGGTTTACTAGAGTAGGCTAAGGTTAGTAATAGAGCAAAACCCTCTAAAAAACCTAAGATTAATTATTTTACCTAGGACAAAGTATAAGTCCCCTTTTAGAGATTATTTAGATTCTTACTAAAGGCGAATTTAATAGCCTTGTAGGCTCTAAAGTAAGGTAATACTACTAATATTTAGGGAGGTTATAGTAGTAGAATTTATATTAAACTTAGGCTATTATATCTTAATACTACTATTCTTATAATAATTAGAAACCTTAGTATCTATTAGGTTAATAGCTTAATATCCTACTCTAAGCTTAATATTATAAAGGAAAGACTCTTCTTATATTATAACCTATCTTTTCTAAGACTCTAGTGTAACGAATACTCAAACTGGCTAACTAAACTTGGCTGGGTGTTCGCTGGTTGGTATGCTATGATAAGAAGAAGACTATCGGGTTGTTCACTTGGAAGTGAACTCGTTACTTGTATCAAAGATGTCAAACAAATATGATAAGATTGATAACTAAGTTGAGCACGAAGCTCCTATCTAATGGCAGACGTGCCAGTCTTATATAGAACCTCTGTTCTCCACTGGATCATATGGATCATGGTAACAACTTACTGATCCACTATCCTACCATCTCCTCCTCCCTATCTCCTAATCTTAAAAAAAAGAATCCAATATATCTTAGCATCTCGACCACGTCTTCTACTCCATATCCAAGAGGAATTACGTAGCTTCCTGGTACTTCGAACCTAGAGACCAAGAGTCGTAAACGAATACGAGATAACAGATAGGTACTCTACCTACCTACAGCAAGATACTAAGATAACAAAAAAAAGATAAAACTACCCCTCCCTCTCTCTATCCTAAACATATACCTCCTCCCCTCAAATATATTAATAAAGTAAGATACACCTAAGAATAGTAAACGTGGTCTGGTCGGTCCCTTGGTGCATAATCCCTAGCACTATGCATGCACAAAAAACGTCGTGGCATTCAAAAAAGGAAAAAAGGATTTGGGAAGGAAGATTCCTCACCGTTTTCTCGAAAAACCTAGGTTCAAGGGCAACGCAACGCAACCTTTTCTAAGCCATCATGAAAAATTTAGCATGTGAAGAACGAACGATCCCCCTCGAATGAACCATTTCTGCTGTAGGGCGGTGAGAGTGAGGTTGAGCCGCCAAGCTCCCCCGCATGGGGAAGGGGCCAAAGAGAAGGCACGGATTTGAGTGTTCCCTCTGGCTGAGTCGCTGACTCGATACGAGTATGCTGGGCTTGGGGATTGCAATGCTTTCGCAATTCGATGGACCTGTCAAAGAAAGGCCACTCCAGATCGTCGCTTAAAGGTAGTGGCAGTTTCAACGCACGTGTCAGGGATAGGAAGGTAACCGCAAGGGAAGGTTTGAGGCGAAAATAAGAACGCTGGCTCGCTCGCGAACTCCATTCCAACGGCAGAGGGAGCGGCACGATAGTTGATCCTTCACGAGGAAAAGAGCATCGTGAAACGAAGTAGAAGTACCTCGCCCCTATTTCCTTCCAGAATCTTGAACTTCTGTATATTGACATCCATAATGACCCGATCGAGACGAATTCTCGTTAGAGCTCGATCCCCTTGCGGCTTAGCTCGGGGTAATTCAGTCCATTCTCCCCTTAAAATAGCCAGCTAGCCCCCCGTCATGGTCCGTGCTTCAAAAAAGGGTTGAGGAAATTTATGGGGCGGACGAGCGATTATCTGGGGCCCCTGGACCTTTGCAATTCCCAAACAACTTAGTCGGGCACCAGTCGAAGAGCTAGATATCTCTGCGTCTGCGAGCTGCAAAGGAAACACCTAGTGCAAGAGTAGGTCTAGTGTTCAATTCAACCACCAGGCGGGCCCTTCTGAAGAGAAATAAGATAGTGCACCACACCAACCAATTCCTCTTCTTGTCTTGCGTCTCCCCTTCCCCTTCCTCTCTCTCTCCTTGCAATTTTGGATTGAATTGGCATAGACCACTTCACCCTCCAACACCACATCACACCACATCGCCAGACCACCATCATGGCTGGAAAGACAGCCTCGAAAAGGTCCAGCACCATGGCAAAGACCGACGAGGTCAGGAGCACTCCAGGAGATGGAAAGCACGTTGATCTCCATGGCAAAGTCTTTGAACTTCCACACTTCACCATGAAGGAAATCCACGATGCCATTCCCAGCCATTGCTTCAAGCCCTCCATCATCCGGTCCATGGCCTACGTCGTGCGCGACTTTTTCTATTGGGGAACCCTCAGTTACATCGCCCTCACCTACATCCCAATGCTTCCCTCGGCATACCTCCGTTTCGCTGCTTGGTCGGCATATGGATTTGCGGCTGGTTGCGTCTTTACGGGCATCTGGATTCTGGCACATGAATGTGGACACGGTGCCTTTAGCAGAAACAAGATGTTGAATTATACCATGGGATTGATCATGCACTCCTTCCTCTTGGTTCCTTTCCATTCTTGGAGACTCTCGCACTCGCAGCACCACAAGGGAACGGGAAATATGCAGAAGGATACTGCGTTCGTGCCACACACACGATCACAATGGCTCGAGGACAAATTTGGAAAGAACGCAAAGGCAAACTTGGTCGAGTTCGCAGAATTGGCCGAGGATTCCCCAATGGCTGCTCTATGGCACGATATCATCCATCAATTGTTCGGTTGGCCTGCGTATCTCTTGATGAACGTTACCGGACAAAGATATGATGGAGCCAGTGGCATGAAGATCTCTCATTTCTACTTTGGCGAAGACAGTGTGTTCTACAAGAAGAACGAGTTGACATTGATTGTCTTGTCTGATATCGCGGTTGCTATCATGATTGGAGCTTTGCTCGTTGCTGGCCAGGCCTTTGGACATTTCAACGTGATCATGTGCTGGGGAATCCCATGGTTGTGGGTGAACAACTGGATTGGTAAGTACATCCTCTTTTCCATCCAATTCCAAACCGTGGAAAAATACTAACCAAATCATGTAGTTGCAATCACCTTCCTCCAACACACCGATGGTTGCATGCCCCACTACGACAACAAGACCTGGACCTTCGCCCGTGGTGCCACTGCCACCATTGATCGTGACCTTGGCTTCATCGATACCCACCTCTTCCACGATATCATTGGCACACACGTCTGCCACCACCTCATCTCCACCATCCCATTCTACCACGCAGGCGAGGCCTCCAAATATATCAAACAAGTCATGGGTTCACACTACCAAGCGGATCTCGAGACCCCCTTCTGGACCGCCTTCTTCCGTAACCAACGTTCTTGCAAATTTGTTGAGGAAACCGTTGGCCAGGAGGGAAGTGGAGTGTACATGTTCCGAAACTTGTACAACCGTGAGGGTGAGACTCAGCCTGCTAACCTGGCCGGAATCGAAAAGAAGGGAGAGTTCGATATCGCCGAGGGACTTAAGGCTGCGACTGGTACGGCTACTGCTACTGCCATGTCGATGGCAAGTGCTCGAAATCTGGATGCCAGACGAAGACTGAGTCAATCTGCTGCCAAGGCCAGTCTTCCTGTTCTGGTTGAGGCTTAGATGGGGATAGTTGGAATTCTGTTTTTTATCTTGGTCGGATGGATTCGCAATTTCTCGGTCAGTTTTCTAGAAGGGTGTCGAAAGGATTGACATAGATCATTGTTTTTCATTCGATGGGAAGGGGGTTTGAAAGAAATAGATTTTGTAGATGGATCGATTGAGGGTGTAGATTCTGGGTTCTTACTCACTTGGCGTTTTTTCTGTAGAGGTTCTTATTTTTCAATTTCTTTTTTTTCTGTGTGGAAAAAGACCTTTTTGCGATAGTGGTTGCGGTTCTGTCTTGTTCATATGAAAAAAAAAAAAAATTTAATTTTTTTTGATTAAGTGAGTGAGTAAGTGATTGAGTGAGTGAGTAAGTAAGCTCTAGATATCCTTCTCGTCTTTTGTTGATCTTGTTGATCTTTTGTTTTTTCGATTCGATTTTTAAGAACTGGATTGATGGATTGATGGATTGATGGATTGATGGAGGGAGGGGGGATAGATCTAGATGCGAATTACATTAGTTTGAAAGAAATGATATGATATGAATTGAAAGAAAAGAAAGAAAGGAAGTCTTGATGAGATTTTGTGTTTGTGTGTTTGTGAGTCTTGTGAAATGCAGAGGAAGGGAGGAAGGGAGGAAGGGAGGAAGGGAGGAAGGGAGGGAGGGGTATGTTGTGGTACTTGGGAACTTGGTAGGTAATAATATCTTGTGCTAGTGTTTGTGTTACATTGGGTAGGTAGCGAGGGTAGGTATGGTATTAGGTGGATGGGTATATGGATGGATGGATATTAATAAGTAGAGCTTGTAAACTTGTAGCTTGTAGCTTGTATAGAAATCTTCTCTCACTCACTCACCTCACCTCACTCACCCCGAAAATCAAATCAAATCAAAAAAAACGAACCAGGGATTCTGGGAATTCGACTTGGAATGTGTACTGTAAGAGCTTTGTGATGTTGAGAATGGAATGGAATTCGTGATCTTGTACGAGGGTTGTGAAGGAAGGGGGAGAAGAGGGGAGAGGGGGGAAAACTTGGAGCTTGGAACGCCTACCTACCTATACTCAGCCGGCCCGGTGACTGGTGTTTTTTGGGAAGGAGGGGAGGGAGTGGGAGGGGGGTGTAGAGTAGAGGGAGGATGGAGGAGAGGTGTAGGTAGGGGGATGGAG